CTTTTCATATTGAAACTTGGTTCTAATTTTGCCCTTTTGGTACCTATATATTGTCAATATGTCTCTCAAATGTTGTCGCCTGATCTATCACTCTGCGTCGCATCCTACTGACCAAAAACCAAACACTTGCAATATATGAAATTAGCATAATAGTGAAGCATTCGAGATATTAGTTAATAAGAATTAACCATGCTATTTCACCATTGTTTTAGACATTAGAAAAGTCGGCAGCATAGCCAATGGTTACTGCAAAACAACGCAAATACATTGACGATGACAAGCGAGGTACCATGAGAAACTTCAGATACTCATAACGGCCTTGTCATATCAGAATAACATGATAATGAACAAAAGCATTCAAGCTCAATTGATCTTTCAGCAAATTATAAAGTAAGCTTAAGATAGTGATGTTAAAACACCATAGGGAAATATTAACTAGAACTAACATGTATCCAACAATATTATTAAAATTATCAGAGTACTAATGAATAGTGTTGTTACACCTTGAAACCAAAGGAGTAACCTCCCTTTGCTTTACTGAGCGGAGTTAGCTCCCCTGTCAGAACGGACACGAGCTGTCAACAGGGAAACTAGACCTAACATGTTGCCAACAATATTAAAAATACTTTGCTATCTATACAGTAATGGCAGGTATACCTGCGCTGTGTAATTAACTGGTAAATGATTGATCGGCCTTCCCACCGTAAAGCATATATAACTGTAAAATCAATAAACGTCGAGACGTCTGTCATTATTTCCTAATCACACTTTTATTTTTTGTTGTTTTTAAATTACATTACGAATACAAAGTTCAGTGAAGCGGTTATGTTTGCCTCTAGAAATATCAATAGATATATATTAAGGAACCAATGTCGTATCAGACAAAGCAGAAATATTTACATAAGTCTTTTATTTTTGATATAAAGAGTACGACTTATAAAGTAAATACCTCATCTTGTGGGAGGCATTTAGTCGGATAATAAACTTGTATTATCAAAGAAAAAAGATTCCGAGATGCAATAGAGAAAAATAATTTAAAAATAATGCGAAAGTACCTTCATAATGGCATACATGTCTAGGCAACACTAGAAAAGACCATTCTAATTTATATTCAAAACATTTTAGCCAGTGTTATTATGATCTATATACATGATATACACTGTATAGACGACTCGTTTCGCGAATGACGATATTTTATTATACTAATAAAATATATATGATATTCAACGGAAACAATTAAATATCCTCCTTAGAAGCACTTGAATAAACAAAAATGTAGCCCAACCTGGTTTACATTTTTTCTTAGTGACATTAAAAAGCATACGAATTTTTATAAAATTGAAGATGAATATGAATTCCACTGGGCTTATAGTGACATTAAAAGGTATAGACATGGCGAATGTCTGCATTACTGATCTTTACAGCATTTATTGTTCACGTATTGTACTGCTTTGTCAATAATTGTGCTATAAATGCCAAATGAATTTTGCAGGTTTACAAAGCGGCAATCACCTAAAACCATCTTATTATCTGACAAATGATCAATGATTTAGTTTTGAAAAAAAAGTGTGATGCATAAACACATAATGGTAATCCACTATTATCTTATATCTCACAAGTTAAGTATTATGCTTTTACTCATTCACCCCTGAAGAAACATTTAAACTCTTCCAAATCAAAAGTTGGAATATTTCATGATAAAATGTCAGGGGTGAATTAGTAAATGTTCGTAATGGAAAATGTCCCATGTAATTTCATTTCAATATACTAATCTCTGAAATAATTAGTCCTATTCACCCTCGTATATAGTATTGGTCTTTGTCATACATTTATTGCACAGTTTTTTCACATGTAAAATGCTTGAGGTAATCGAATGTCCCATTTCATTTTCGTATGTTTATCACTTAATTATACTTCCAATACTGCTCAAACCCGTGCAATTGTTGACATGTCAGCAAATACATATGGTATTTCAGCTTTAAATTTAATAGACTTATAATCGAATGTGCACCATGCTTTACAGATTAGCGTGAATGTACCTCGTAAATAAACAAATAACCATCAGTTGATAGGCACAAACATGTACAGAAGTTGTAATCAATAGAATTAAGTGTCAGTAAAATGTACCGCAGCAGACACACAAATCAGTCTTTTACAATTCTACATCAAAACACATTCGTAAACAACTGCTGCAAAACAGCCGTATTTGATAAAAAAAAAGTATAACCGGTAGTTTTGATATATTACAGTCAAGCAAAGTTAACATGTACCACTGTAAATATTGAATAAAGGAAAACTTCTAGTAGGTAATAAATAAGAGATGCAGATATTCTATTATGAAAATCAGATATAAGAAGAAGGATTCAATAATAAATAAAATACACATAAGACAGAACTACATCATAAAATGGTTCATTGGCCATGATCATCAGCGGTGTATACTAATAGATTGCATGATTATATCCTTTTCATTTCAGTCTTCTTTTGTTCTGATCGTATTTTGTTACCAGAAAAAAACCTGTTTGTGAAACATACATAGAAAAAGACAAGCCAGTTCGTGATGGAGGAATAAATTAATTATTACTACATAAGCGAACAAGGGTCCCATTGATGATCATTGCCAGACGCATGATGATGCTAATGATCTTGATGACGACGACGTCGAAAACAATGATGATGATGATGTTGGCTGTGATGATGAAGGGGCTGCTGCTATTTCAGATTATGATGATGGCTGTGATGATGGAGATACTGCTGCTGCTGCTGCTGCTGTTATTACAGATGATGAAATAAATAACAAAGCCGAAAGCTATTTATAAGCTGATAATGATGTAACATAAGGAACAGTGACAAATTATTCTATGCAGTCTCCCTTATGCCTATTTTCCCTTCATAATATTTTGAGTTTTAGTTTCAACACGTTAAAACGAATTTGTTTGATTCAAATTTTTCGCAATTTCTCATACCAAAGGAGGCACGAATAGTCATCTTTAAAGAAATATAAAGTATACATTTAGTTGTTTTTTTTCTTACTTAAAGCAGAAATTATCAAGAATAGTAATGACTGCATATTCCGGTCCCTAATGGGTTTAACATTACAAACATTTCAACTTAGATCATAGATCTTTCAATATTGAAATACAACATATTGCATCTTCTACAAAACAAATGTTAAAATGTTTTTTTCCGAATTGACAGGACTTTTGTTACGAACTTACCTTTAAATTGTAATTGAGAGGTTTCGAAGATGTTTGTACTAACTTAAGAAACGAGTTAGGATGTTCAAATTGTCAAGTTGTTTGCAAAATAATTGGTGCGTAATGTAAGTTTCCCATAGGCCCTGACCCCACATTGACTTAAATGTAATTATGATGATTATAATTAGCTTGATACTCTAGAGAGCTGCAATATGAGTAGCTGACCCTGAAACATATTAATTACTTATTTAAATGTTCAAAATATCCGCGTAGATTTACTTTAGTTATGTACTTTCCATGTTGAATGACATGTTGGGTTATACACATATGCAACATAACTGCCAATTTCATGGCTAGAATGCATAGGTCTTTCTTAGTTTTCAAATTGATGAATTTAAGTCGATTCAGTAGTCATCATTCCATCCACGACGTCGTTATGTCTATCATTTTTATTCTATGCTCTTTTGAAGATAAAGTTTGTTTACAATATTTAACACATGTAGGTAACTTTGTAGATATGAGTTGCATTCATAGATGCATTGTCATCTTCACAATAAGATCGCATTTTTATAAAGAAAATAAATACATCACGAAAGCCCCATATTGAAATTCTGTGTTATCTATATTTCTGCTTTTGTCATAATGAGAAAGTCTTCACGTTTGATATCTCGGCTTTTATATACATGTTTATAGCCAGTTTGTTATTGACTACTTTAGTCTCTAATGTAGAAGATAATGAACCAGAATGGAACCTTCTTTGCTAGAAAGGATTTGCCTTGTCAGATTTGGTATGACGTTTTTAAATTTAATAATGTTGTACGGATATAAGGATATGTAAACACGTGTTTATTAAATCCACTGTACCTCACCAACAGAAGGTTTGACGTGGTAGGTGTGCATCAGTGCTTTTATTTACAACGAACAATGTTGCGACAACCTGTTCATAAAGTACAATGTTAAGCATACCCTTTCTTGATTATTGGAAAACCTTTTAATCCGATAGCGTTATCGAACCTCAAACACTACCAATAAAAAGGAATCAAATCAAATGAAACCTGACAAAATATTGAATATTGATTAGTTTTTGTGCCAAGGCCAAATGACTAAAGGTCTGTAATGTTGCCTGCTACGTCTAGCTATGAAGATACTGGCATCGTTCGGGGGTGGTCTTGTGTCTGTACGTGTATTATATCACCATTCATTTCTAGTTGGTTAGCTTGTACATTTTTACATTTGATTCGGCAACATCAAAGTATTACGCTACTTTACACATAATTGACTTTTGAAAGATATTTTCAAACATCATTGTTTTCGATACATTCGTTCAGGTGTGTTTCATATGAGCAATCAATTAATGAGCTATTCAACAGTTCAAATATATTTCATTCTTACGTCTCTAACGTGTTATTATTGTAGGGTAGGGATGGGATTGTGATTTAGACATTTGTGTCACAATGAGATATCACGTACACTTAAAATAACCTAGTCCACATATGCTATGATTTGTCATCAACAATTTACTATCGGAGAAGGTTAATTACCTAAATGATGTCATGCTTATTATCAGTAAATAGGATACACATCAAAGGATACGGAGACTGTATAATAAGCTTCAAAATAAATTATTTACGTCCAGGCTACCTATTGGCAAATTGATTATTCTAAGGTGTCCCAGATGTGCTGCACAATCGTAAATTAAAAAAAATCGAAAATCATACTGGGATATCGATTGGAGAGGATATACACCTTAGTACTCGTCATTTGTTCAGTATTTCTCGGGCAACCCGTCATATAACCTACACCAGCGTAGCTTATTAGCATCCACTTGCGTGCTGTTGGTTCGTGGAGTTTTTTCCTTGTGTTTGTCTACCCCTCTTGAACATGTCGTAAAATCATGTAGTGTTTGCATATTACTTATCGACGTGTATTTCCTAAGGATAAACCTATATCCATTAACATGTATGTGCTGTCATATAAACGCCTGTAGACTAAATGTTTCGAAAGTGAAACCAGGGATTTAGTTAAATGTAAACCAGGCGCCACACACCACTGACTTGTTATCTACGTTATTGAATTGTTATTCTTGACGACGCCCCCACTGGACCGTGACACCACACTGTCATGTATAGATTCTGAGAGACAAATATGAGGATGTACCGTCGCCATTTAAAATGATCTAACTCATCTGCTTAAAGGAAAAGATTCGGATACGAATTTCAAGGTAATTAGACTTATTATGATAGGTAAAGAGATGTTATTAGTTTTATTCTATATAAATCTGTCATTTATGAATAAGATTTAATAAGGATAATGATATAGTATGGACGTATCTTATTTATGAAACAAAATTAAGATAATTCTGCCCTGGAACATAATTATATACCCCCGTAAAAGGAGGCACGGTAGTCTAGTGGTAGGACGCAGGGCTCGTGACTGAAGGGTTGCGGGTTCGAGTCACGGCACGGCACTGTGTTGTATCTTTGAACAAGATACTTTACTCCGCTTGTACCAGTCTACTCAGCTGTAAATGAGTACGTGGTTGGGCAATGCTAGAATTGTAGAATGCTATCTGTGAGCGCCGAAATGGCAAAAACGGCTGTATGCTCCCTAATGAGTTGAGAAAGATATTGGCTGGTTACAAAGACCCTATAACCACGGATAATAATGTGTGAACCGCTTTGAGACGACCTAAGAACTAGGTTGTTGTAAAGCGGTATATAAGAACCTCGAATTTCATTATATTATATTATTATTATTTCTCTTTATTCAATCAAGTTCAAAGACTCAATGGTGACTTAGGACGATATCATTTAAGCGTTTTTTAAACGAAATATTTTTACTGACTTATTTAAAAGCCATCAATACTTCCTCTGCCTAATTAGTTGCTATATGCTATACATATTAAAATCTGGAATACTAAGCTGATCCGATAGCTTGTCTCACTGTTTGACAAGTCATTGACACGGGAACACTAGAGATGTGATATAATCAAATCTCCTACATGTATGACAGACTGCACATACAGGCGTTAACAATATAATTTTTAATATCGTTCTTAATTCTTTAGACTAAGTAAGTACATCAAATAACACTTTACTATAGCTAGCTAAGGGTAAAAACGAGTAAGCGTGCATGTCATTTAGAAACATATCAAGGTAAGCGGCAGTGTATTAAATTTGAGAAAATATCTTGGGTGCGAACAACCAACTCAAACAACTGGATTGTGTATAGTGTTAACGACGGCATGTGTATTGAATCGAATACGATTCGTTTTGTTTCTTAAGACTTGTGTTGGCTATGAGTAGGAAACATATTAAATCTTCAATGTGTATAATAAATCGGTTGAGCAGAGCTTTATTGTTCTCGTATCTACAGTCAGCTACATGTAAATGCGATTATCTTGCTCACCTCTGAATTAATTATATGGTTCGTTCGATTAAGCGTAGGTCCAATATCAGAAACATTTATCGCAGTCCGGGTTAGTCCGAGCGACAAGTCAGTATATAGAAATGAGTCTCTATTAACATAGACGTTACTGTATCTAATTTAAAAGGAAAAAACCGTCTAATTCTGTTTATGAATAAGACGATACTCAGTGTTATGTGTATTCTCTAGGTACTGGCCTTTACAATGACGGAAAACCGGGATAATGGTCTGGTGAATGACATGCCTACCCAGGATTATACCGCGGTGGGTTTAAATGTCTCGCCCCATAATGATGAGAATACCAGGGTAGACACCGACAACGGGGAGAAGTCGAACCATGCGGTAGTACAACCAGAAACACCCACCAGTCCTGTCAAATCAAGCCCTGATGGCAGTGAGAACCATGAAAAAATATCCGAGTCAGGAGTTGATAACAATCTAGGTGGTGGCGGCCAAGACGTAGTCAACACCAGCACAACTAGTGACGATCCTAGTCAATCGGAGGACGTTCAAAACAAAAAGGTAAACAATAACTTCCAAGGCAGTCAAGGACCAGGTTCTGAAGGTAGGGAGGAGGAGGTTGTATCTGCCTCGCTTTCAAAGAAGGACGTCGGTGATGATCCGCTGACACATTCAGGAGACATTGGTGGTAACAAAGAGAACCAATCCGAACTGCCAGTTAAGTATTTTATGTCAGATGATAACACTAAAGACACAATTAAATCAGTTGATGAAAGAGGGAATAATGGTGACAGTGGTGTAGAGTTTGACCAGAAAACTAAAGAAGGAAGTGATCACGATTATTCGGACACTTTCGAGGATCATTCAAAATCTGAACATTCGGAGCCTTCTTTCCCATCGTACAATAGCAAAAAAGAGGACAGTCATGAAAACAAAGTGATAATTGATAACCAAAACGGGACAAATGAAAAGGATACTACTCTGGAATTAGATTTACGAAATGATGTTGAATTAGAGCCAGAATTTACATCATCGCCACGTGTTCAGATAGCAGAGACTGCCGGTCAGCCTAAATTGAACAAAGTTGACGAACACACTAATCAGTCGGCAGCCAATAGGGAAGCAACTGACGCAAGGCCGTCTAGTCGTGCGTCCGTAGTTTCTGACGACGAAAATAGCCCCAACTCGGACAAAACATTGACAGAAGGTTCATGGCCTTCTTATGAACAGACGGAAGACGGTAAAAGTGGAGCGGAGGTCATCCAAGAAGACGCTGTACAAAACATAGGTAATCACGACAGTGAATTCAACGACGTCGCAAAGGAGCAAATTACTGTTGGTAATCAAGATAATTTAAAAGAAGAAAAGCATGTGAGTTTTTCTGATGATCCAAAAGTGAAAAGAAAAAGTTCTCGGTCGCCTGAACCGGCTGTGAAAGATACATCTAAGGAGTCAGATACCGTTTCTGAGGATAAAAAAGAGGAAATTACGCCAAGGGGAGGCGACGATACGCTAGATGATATAGAGGCTCTAACGACCATATCAGAGGTTAATCCTGTAGATATTGTAAGTACTCAAAAGCCTAATGATCAGGAACCAATAGCAAAAATAAATCTCACTAAATCTGAACTTGAAAAATCAGAAATGGCGGATGACATAGCACGCGCTGACGATATACCTAAACATGAGGTAGGAAATGATACTGATCATGAAACAGAGGAATTGACTTCTGAGGAGTTGTCTCGACCACAGAAAAAACAGAAGGAAGAACATGAACAAGATTCTAACGAAATAGGGGAAAGGCAACTAAGTAATACATCATCCCCTGAATCCACAAACCAACAAGAACGCCATCCGGATAATGATGTGTCTAGTTCTTCCGATAGAAATGAGAAACAAGAAGTTGAACACGAAACAACAGAAATCTATCAAAAAGCCGAGGTAACATCTCCGAAAGAGGATAATCCTGACTCGCAACAAAAGCACGAAAAACACACTGAGATGGAAGATGAAATAAACGGAGATAAAGATCAACAACAGCAGCAGCAGCAGCAGCAGCAGCAGCAACAACAACAACAACAACAACAACAACAGAGTTCAGATAATTCTGATAGATACATTAATTACAATGATGTCTTGAAACCTTCCGCAGAAGAACATTCTGTTCAGTCTGAAAAAGAACAACAACTTTCGGTCAACGATAAAACTCAGGAGAAAGATTACTTTGAGGATACCCGAAACCAAGAAACTGAAAAGTCTAACCATCCTAATCAAGAATCCGAAAGAAGCTTAAAGCCAGATGAAAGGGAACTTGGTGATCGCGAGGAAAATGCGCAGCAGACAACAAATGCTGAAAATGAACAAACTAAGCATCAAACAGAATCACAAGAACCAGTTAAACAGGAACAAAAACCAGAACCGGAAGTTGAGCCAGAACCGGAACCGGAGCCAGAGCCGGAGCCGGAGCCGGAGCCGGTGAGAATAACCCGTAATATAGATATAGACAACGCGGTTGACACAGTAAGCAATGTAGAAACTAGTGTTCAGGAACTACTAGTTGATATGAAAGAACTGATGGACAATTATCATCACAAGTTAAAATCACAACCGCTGGCAGAATTCGTACAGGACCTGGACAAATTCCGTGGGGATTTTAAATCCATGCACGATGCTTACCAAAAATGTGATACTATGTTCATACATTTAAATAAAACGCTTAAGGAATTACGAGTTTTAGGGGATGACTTCAACTCTCTAATGGACCGAAAGTTTCGGGAGGAGGAACTTTCGACATGGACAGTAGAGGTCGAAGATGACGGTAAGCAATTTATGTTGATTTTATTATCTATATTTGTTGCTTTTAAAGATATTGTAAATGTTTTGAAGTCAATATATTTCAAAGGTTTATTTACAATCATTGTAAAAGATGTTTTTTCTTCTCTATAGTAGTTTTTTTAGCATCAAATTGTATCAACATGGATTACGGCTCTGTCAGGTATTGTTCAAAGTCCAATCAACACTTTAAAATGCATTGCAAGGACACACAGACTGTATGGGCATACTTTCTTTGGTCCAGATCTGGGTGCTTATTTTCTCAAATAAAGCCTTAAGTCTAACTTTCACATGCACAAATTCCATCTATCTGTCTTCTTCAATATTTTAAACTTAAACAAGATATCAAGCTGGTCATACTTAATAAATTGGATCCTACTTGTTACTTAAGGTATTCAAAACATAATACATACAGTCGCATTGTTAGCTTAACAATTTTAATATGTCATTACATCTTGCTGTACATTTCCAATATTTACATTTTCTATACTAAGCTTATGGTGTGAGAGTATTTATCAATATTTTGAAGTGTTTACATAAGTTTTCGAACAATATGACTCCTTAATTAATGCGACAAATATTATTCCCATAACGACTAACTAACAAACAAACAAATCTAAGCTTCATTTGTCTCTACGCCTGCAAAGAGCCTTTGGAATGCATTAACATTGGTGACCGATCCATATAGATGAAGTATCCAAAACACCTGTTGTCGCAATGTAAACAAACAAAAGTCAATACTTTCGCTGAGACCAGCTTACTGTTATCAATGTTCATTTTGATACGTATTCACTTTTATTTACTCATGAAATCAGATATACCGTTGACTCTCCTACTTTGAGAGTCATTAATTTCTACCGCCGCAGTGATCCTCTAAACAGCGCCGACGTGCTGGGATTACATTGTCAAAGCGTTCCTCTCTTTCCTATCTATTTTGGCATGTTATTCAGAGGAAACCATCGATTTGTAGGATCGACACCCCAATGCCAACTGTCAGTTTTTATCAAAGGCAAGAGTGGAAGGTCTTTTATTCCCTTTGATGATTTTCCCGAATACTTAACGAAGGCCATTTTGGAGGAGGTCAGAGTTAAGAAGGACAACGTGATTCTGCGTAATTTGTGATGTGAATAGCCACGCAAAAATGAGCTTACGAGACGGCTAAATTGAAGTTGATATGTGAAAACAATGTAAATAGTTTGCCTCGAAATCAAATACAGTCTTAGTGTCTGTATGAGTAATAGTTTTCTTCTATAATTCTACTATACTGTATAATAACAGTTAAATAAAATAGAATAAATCAATTATAGGGTTTCGGTGTACAACCTTTAACACATGTTGCAACGAAAGCATTTGTCGAATAACGTCTGTTAAGGATGACCTAAATTACTTCTACAGAAACCTATTATATATGCATGTTCACTTTGATGGGATTAATGTACCCAGTATTTTACTTCAATAAGCTAAATTGCTTAGGTAATTGCTCGGGCGAATATGACATGTATAGTAACCAAGTAACCAATCAATAACCCCCTTCAAACTTTTACGTTACCATGGTAGCTTTTGCCTGCGATATAGTTATAAAAACATCTCTTCAAAATTGTCTTTAACGATAAAGGCTTCTCTGGACCTAGTTTTCTAAAAAATAGTTTTGTAAGGTTAGATCGATAAATACATTGTAAAATATATGACAAAGCGTACATGCCATACGTCCCATATAGCCCTCAGTAACTTGATAGTGTATACACGATGGTCTTGTCAATGTACATTCTGGACATTGATATCAACAATACGGTCACCATGCACCGATATCTTTTGTTATTTCATGTTGTTATGAGGTAGTGGCGTTCGTTCTATTTGACATATCAAGGACAAGATAACAACTGGTAATTATAGTCCAATCTGGCAATCGATATGATCACCTAGCCTATCGATCTTGATGGCATTCTATTTATACTCACGAGAAAAAAGTCGTTTATTAGAAACACATATCCTTGATTGCCGTATTGTATTACAGTTTATATATAATTTATATTAAATGTAGTGTGTACTAAGGAATATGGGTAGTATTGTCAGTTGGGATACAGTAAAGGCAAAATATCTATAAGACTACCAGGTGTGAATACTTTGGTATTAAAATCATGGTTTTTATCAGACAGGTATCACACACAATGATGGATCCCTTAAATCATAGATTATTCATACATATGCAAAACCGTGCTAGCTTAACACCTTAGGAAATTGAGTTGAAAGTACTATTTGGACAGAACGTTATATGTGCTTTCTAAATTGTTCAACATATAACAAGTATAGCCATTACATAATTTTACTTTAGAATTTGAAATTTGAATTTGAAAAGTGCTATTTCGACAAAAGTTCATAATTATTACGGTAACTAGGTATCTGTACGAGCATATTGTTAATAAAGGCCAACCCTAATAAGTTCAAAGTCAGGATCAATCAGAAAAAAAGATAGAAATATGTATACATTGGTTGTAATACGTATAACCCAAGAGTTCAATTAACGGAAGCTATTTATATATCTGTATGTGGTGAAATGTTAAGTGGTTTGTAATGTCGCAATCAGGTTTACACGCTTCAGTGATCAACAGCTTATGAAAGTCAATAGAACTTCAATATCCATTGAACAGACATATTATAGGAGTCCGTACCCCTTTATCGCCTATGTCGTTATGGGATTTGTTATTCAGTTAGACAAACACAGATCAAATTATATCGATTAATAACTTAGCTTAAGAACTAGTAAACGATATAGCATTTAATAGATTGTTATAATTCAAGTGTCTTCTTATATATTTATTCATGTCAAAATTTAAAAAAAATGTTTCCACAGCATAGAACGTATCTTTGAATATAACTTCTTTTTGAAACAACAGCCATATAATGTGTGTTATGTTGTGTGAGCATTTATAATTTGGTTAGGTTAGATCTGATCAAAATTGAATTCCATCAAGCTAATATTGCCAGACTGCATGGGGTGTCATATTAATAAAATGGAACTGTTTGGCAATCAGGCGATCAAATAAATCCACCCGCTGTGACCTGAAATTTAAAGAGGATATCAATGCGCCAGGAAGTTTTTTGGTCCATTTCAACACAACGTTTAAATGAGTAATTATGGTGGTTTTGAATGGACTGTTATGTAGGTATTGGAGGGAGGTGTCGCTGTGTGTAAGGACCAAATCTATGCAAAATTGTGAAGTCTAATCACAAAGGTGTCACTGCTTTCAGTTCATTTGTTAAGTTTATATTCTTTCCTACCTATTGTTTAACTGAGAAAATGAGAACTGTTGTTTTCCCTTGGTTATTTATGAATTGAAGCGGAACTTTTCTTTTTTCCCTACCTCATGAATAAAGGCAACTACAGTGCAATTTGTGCAATTTCAAATCTAATATGAAATAAAAATAGAAAAACAAATCGAAGCGTGAATGAGCGAAAATACCAAAACACAATATTTGGAAATGTACTTAGCTAATTTATCAAAATAAATTTACTTCAACCACTTTGTCTCACTTCTAACATTCTAAACAATAGGAGTATATGTATACATACGATTGGTGTTCTGGTGAGATAATGCTATCCTTAGGCGATGTATGTGTGATGTCTATTGTAGTCATTCAGTTTCTTATAATAGTACATGTGTACATAGAACAAAGTGTAGATTGTTGACACGACCAAATAATGTCGAACAAAACTGTGGTATAACATCCAGTTACAACTTCCAACCAGTAGTAGTACACACTTAATAGCTGTAATTTAAAATGTGTGCATATCTAACGATCTTTATGTGCCTCAATTTCTGTATTTCAGTCACAGGTTTATAAACTTGAACACTATAATAGTGTGACATTGTGCATAGATTTATCGATGTTTAAGTGTGTTTACATATCACTACAGGTATTCGGCGTTGGTTTACACGTAGTATGGGTTCACTAATTACATCTACCGAAACATACATGGTATATGCACATTCAAAGCTATACTCATCAAATATAAATATAATGCCGAATCAGAGGGTCGTATTTCTTCTTTGAACTCATAAGTATACAGCTGACAGAAGCATATTATACTACATTAAAAGTAAAGTTAATGTGTAATTGAATCTGGGCATGTTTAACTTAAATACATGAGTAGTCAAATAGGTTTGTATATAAGTTAAAGAAAGTTAAAGTATATACATGTAAAACTAATTTAAGACTGTCCGATATATATGTAAAACCTACGTAATGTACAACTTAAATTAGCCCGATATCTATTATATTTGGTCACAGTGTTTCTCATTAGACACGATTTTATTGGATTATAATAGGATTAATTATTGCAAAGAAGAAAAAAAATGTTTTAATTAAATGTGATTTACAGCATACAAAATGTTCCATCCCATTTGCCACATAAAACAGAAAATTACAAGCCAAAGAGGATAACTCAAATGTTTGAACCTGTAAATGAAAAACATTGATATATAACATTAATGTTCAATTCCTTTGGTATGTCTGGTCCATATTGAGACTGATTCTTTATCTAAAGCCATACAATCGTAACATTCTTTGTATTAACACTGAAACATAAAAGAATTATCGGTCGTTACATAATGTCAGTGCTGTGAACTGGACCAAATAGATCAGGTAACATGGTATCAATCTTAATTCATAAACCATAAATCCCCAAAAACCTCATTTGTGATTTTGTCGCAAAATAAGGTATGACAGAAGAAGGGTTCATTTTCCGGGAAATGTGTACATATGAAGGAAAAACGTAGATAAAAGGTTGTTTTTTAAATAGGAAAATGAAATACATGTATTTCTAAATGTTTTTAGCAAACTATGCTAACTTTCCTTAGTTTCGTAATAACCAATTACTGTTTGACATTTACCTATGTGTATTATGTTTGGATCATAAATACATGTTTAGTAAGAAGCTACACCTTTCACGTCATACTAAGTAGTATTGCTGCATCGGATTAAACAACTCATTGCAATTCCAAGTAAATCTAGAAATAAAACATTCTGTATTTGTAGAAAAAGAACGAATAAAAGCTGAACGAGTGGCCGCCACAAAGACAGCAATAGCGAAGGCAGCAGACGCGCGAGCGTTTGTAGCAAAGGCGGCAATTGCTGTGTCTGAATCAAACTTGCTTGCCGGAGAGTGTGAAGCTGACGCCGCCGATGCCGCATCAACAGCTGCTCGAGCACTGGAACTAGCACAGAACGCAAGAAAGGAAGTCGAAGACGCTTTACAAGCTGCAGAGGAAAAACGCAAATCGGAGGAGATAGCTCATGAACGGGCGGCAGAGAGAGCAAGGAAAAAGGCGGAGGAGGAGAAAAAGAAACAAATCGAGGAAGACAAGCGAATAGCAGTAGAAGCCAAGAGGAAAGGGACGTCATTTGCCGATGAAAAGAAGCGTACACTTAATGAAAAAGCTCACAAAGAAGCTGAGCGACGCAACCCAAAGAACTGGCGTCGGCTTGTGTAAGGAAATTACTAGCATTTCTCTTTAACATTAACATAACATATTCTGCAAGGATGGCGTTTTACGAAACTTGCTAACAAAAATAAAGTCTTTTCAAATCTTTTGTTAATAATAATTTGGACATCAAGAATATGATTAAGATAACAGTAATTCTACCATTTAAAATATCATGTGTTTAATTGTCATCGCTCTAATAATATGTACGTGTAACATTATATTGTACTAAATACTTCGAAAACATTTTACTTCACAAACATACATACATAAATGCATAGAGTGTCATTATGCATGCACAAAATAGATACACTATTCTTTCTTCATTTACCACAGCTATAGCGCTGATGGCGGAGATTTTGACCCTGGCGTTGGTTGTATCCTTCGGGCTATTGACAACTGTCTGGGCCGGGACGATGTTAACGTGGTCAGAGTTGATCAGATGTCGGGAGTTTTAACCCTTGTGGATAATGAGGAGCTCATTAGCAACATCATAAAGATTACACCAACAGACGCTGAACGGAGATTTACGGTATTAGAAAATACCAACAGTCATCGTTAAATCATTAAAAAGTTCAATAACATATTATGTTTTAAATTTAAAACTTCCATGGGTATATGTATATCGAGAGGTCGTTTCAGTAAATATCTATTGAAGTTATGATTTCCTGTATACTCAACATTTGAGTATTTAATTAGCATATTTAAATAAAAGGGAAATACATCAGTTTTAATTGATAGGTCAACATTATATTGATGACATATGTATTGCAAATGAAAATCGCATTCTACAATTACAATTGTGACAGCGACAGAAACTATTAACTTCATTTAGTATATTTACGAACAATTGAATATGAAACAGAAAAATAATCCTTATTTCAAAATTTTGGGTATATCATTAACATTTTCCTGTAACAGTTTGAGGAGCCGGTGGCGTTAGCCATTCCACACTGTCTACCCAGGGCCGTGGCGGGCAGAGAAGTCGTAGTAAAGACACGAAGTGCTAATGGGAAATGGGTGGAACTACCTACGAAAGACGCCGTTTTTGAGGACATGAAGGTGAAGAGATTACTACTTATAAATACCACGTTGCATTTTGAAATGAAATATAAAATATGTCATATGATACCAAATTAAACAGCTGAATCGCATAAAAGGACTAGTCTAAATATGTTCAGTACTACATTGTATAAGGTGAAAGCGTTGGAAAAACTGAAGTAAATGACACTAATTTCATGAAAATTGCACTGGTTACCAAAATGATCTACTGTAGAATCATTTATTTTCGTGGGGTTAAAATTTCGTGGCTTTCATATACTAGCCTGTTCCAAGGACATTATATTTCGCTGATTTCTGATTTTCCCCTTTCTATATCATACCAAATTGATATTTTTCGTGGGGCTTTAATTTCGTGGATTTTTTGTTATCCACGAAATAAACGAAATTTAATGTCCCACGAAAATTTATGATTTTATAGTAAATTAAAACCGTTATCATGTATTTTTTTTAATTTTTGTATTAATGTAGCTATAAATATATTGCTTTTTTCAGGAGATGCGCTTTGGAGAAGCTCAGACTCGAAGATTTGGTGTCTTTGCGGTGGTCCTTAGACTAAAGAAGGATACACTCACATTTGTCCGTAAAGGAAACAAAGTACACACGGCTGTCGATGCGCGAGTTTCTTTTACGAGCCCCCCTGGCATGTTCAAGACCAACACTAATTTTACTGTGGAGGTACATATCGAGCTTTCACATCTATTTCATTATGAATGTTATTTTCATTTTAACTATTGAATTATTACAATAATTTTCTTTTAAATTGATACTTCTGAGAGGTCAAATATGTGTCTCCTAAATAGCTGGTCTATTATGTTTTTTGGTGTTTTTTTATCGACTTACGTTTTTAAAACTTATATTTGTGTGAATAGCTTTATAATTTATTTTCTTAAGTTTTAGAGTCTGATTGTTTCCTGCTTTTCGAAGCAGATTTGTGTTTATTGGAGTCTTTCATGTTGATATTTTTTCCGGTATTGTCAATGGCTGTTGATGCTTGGCTGTATATTTTCTGATTAATGCCATGATGTGTCTGTGATCTATATAACATAAAATATTGTTTTAGGTTCAACAAATTGACCAGACGGCGATTGCATCCCTTAAGCACAAACACCCAGTGGAATGTGGCAACCTCATGGCGTGTAGTCCTATTATGAAGTTCAGCATCCAAAACAGGAAATTCAACAAGACCCTCACCATGACACTACCCATACCTCAAAACCCTACCCGACCCAAGAGGCCTAGTACAGCAGTTGCGTCCGCGCCGAAGGAGGACAAATCTGAACAACGCCCTGTAACGGCCCGACCACTTGTCTCATTCAATGCAAATAAGGAAGGTAGGGTAGAGTCTTTACTGTTATATTCTCTGATTACGCTAAGTTTACGTATCGTGGCAAGCTGTAATAGCAACGTTTGGATTTATTCATGAAAGATTTCCAAACAAGATAAGGTAAAGGTAACACTGTCTTAAACGCAATACCGGTACATGGAAAAGTCAACGTCAGTTTCATTTTTTTTAAAGAAACGTTTATTTTAGTAAAACACCTATGTCTTGTCTTGCTTTCTTAACAGAGGAGATAGAAGAAGAATTGCACCTGTTGGTTTGCGAGGAAGGTTGCCTGTGGACCAAACTAGCTGATGTCAGTATTGTACAAGCCAAGAATAAAGACATCGTGACCGTGGAGGTCAAGGAACCTCATGACCGGCAAGTGATCAAACTCGATACAATAAACATTTTATTAGATATTGATAGCCAGCGCACATGCATTTACAGTGCCTAACGATATAACAAAAAGAAGTATGATTTTGGTGTCAATAATGCAGAATGTAAAATGACACAGATTCACATATGAAGTAATTTATTATAATCTGCGTTTGAGTAGACCAAACCTACTCAGATGACAAACTCGTGGTCATCAACAAGATATTTTGTTATTTTCTCATTCTATATTTCATGTTTGTGTACTTTTGCACTTAATAAATTCATGGTTTCCTGTTCAGCGGTTTTCAAGACATGTGCAGTTAACCAAATCATCATATTTTACTATAAATTTTGGTAATGTTTAGACCAAAAACGTGCAACAATTATGCATAACTTATCACATATTGAAGTAATTTATACAATTATAATATATTTTTTGTAAAAATTTGTTTCAATAGAATTACAGTAGCCTTCAAAACAAATCACGGAACAAACATATTTAATATATATATACTTGTATATTTACGTTTGCAACCTTTAGTTTGGCACGGGAGTGTTCGTATTTCTACTATATACTTTTCAAAAAAAATACATTAACCATAATGCATTTTTAAGATTAATGCAGGGATGCGTTTATGCAAGTTTTTTCTGACTAGGTAAAATAACTAACAACGATGCAAAGAGCTTTGACACCTTAAAGATGCAGTTCATCAATTTTGAAATTTGGTTTAGACAGGTCATAATGTACATAGAGTGGTATATAAGTGTATGCTTCTGTTTCAGCTTCCTAGTGATACGTACGGGTCTAGGAGTTGGTCCCGCAAAGCTGGAGACGGCAGCAACGTTGCTGGATAGATCTGTTACTCAAAGATCTATCAATGTTTTCCTGCGACAGCTGAACACCAACCTTAACCAGGTCGCCGTAGGATCCAGTAAGATTAGCAAAACAGAAAAGGAACTGAAAAAGCTGGCTGCAGAAGGTTATGATGACGGTCCGGCACCGAGTCGTGAAATCGTTGTGAAAGAAGGACAGATGATCAGACTTGCATTTAGAGGAAATGTACACTGTACAACAGAGAATGCAGTGCTTCAGTTTATTTACAACACGCACATCAAATCCAAAGTACGCTTCTCAATCCTTGAGACGGATCGTTTCGCACAGAAGGGATTTAACTGTTACCGGGGTTTCTCTCAGATATATACCAACGTGCTAGTGCCAAAGCCGGTCCCGCCCACCGACAAACCAAAGCAGAAACAGACAGTCGCGGAAATGATAGAGGAGGAGAAATTAGTGGCCGAACTACTTATGAGCATCCCAAAGGTTAGTTGTGGGTGTGATTGGTTTAGTTCTAAGGAAAAAATAAGGTTCTATGAAGGCAGTGTCCAACGATAATATGAGGGCTTCTTAAATGTCACTTTTCAAGCAAGCACGTTACTGAAAAAAACAGTAGTTGCGATTGCTGTAGCTTCTCAAACCAAATATCTTCAGTATTACCTAGGTTATAACACCTACGCCTCTACTTGCCTCTTGCGAACCAGTAAATGAATTGGTAGGCAGATGCTTTCCACATAACCTGCAACGACAAACGTACTCATACTTGCCTGATTAATATCGTTATATATTGCGCACTGTACATAGGATTCGTTACCATAACATGCATATCAAGTAGCTTCTTTATCTTAAATCGCATTGATTTGGTGAATGCGCGGAGGCAGGTTTCAATTAAGTTAGACGCATAGAAGAGTTCATTTACATGTATTAATCACACAAAAAAAAGGATTGAATAAGCATTAATTGAAAATATTCTCTCCGTAAATCTATCACATCAGCAGATAGCTTCCTTTCGATTTTTACCTGTTTACTGTTGTTGCTGGCAAAGTTGCTGTCATCACAATATTGTAATTTCTTTGCACATATTTGCAACAAATCAATGCGCTTGAAACAAGTGTTACTGTATTGGGTACACTTTTTAATCCATGATCGATCCTTGCAAATCAATGTGTAGATTAATATAGATTGAACCATTTTGAAGAAATACAGTGCCCTTGCCGTCCAAAACTTAAACAAGACTGAAAAATAATCAATACAATCCTTAACTGATTACTGTTTCGTATTTCAAATAATGCTACTCAATCCAGATGCTCTGTTATTCCAGACTGATGATATCAAATTTAAAAGCACATGTCCCCTTGTTCTTATTCCAGCCGGAACCTGAGCCTCCCAAACCGCTCTGCACCGCTCCCATAAAGATCAACGCAGAAGGTAGGTATACTACATACTATCCAATGCAACAGACGATTCTTTCTACATCTGTGTGGACAGATGGTATCATTTTGTGAACTGGGGAGGATTGGTATTGCCGTCGAGTTTTAATAAAGGCATAGCTCAGCCGTGTGAGTAGTGTCTGTCTCATTTTTATATCATTTCATTTGTAAGGTGCAGAATACTACTACGGTAATTTAAAGTTAGGCAAAGGGACGTACCTGTCAGTGTGTTCATTCAATTTGGTATGTGTTTTTATTTGAATAACTTTCACGTGATTCCACTTCTTATGTCTCAGTTTGCTTTTTATATAAATTGGCTTCTTCGATATTGATCTGGTATTGTCTTTCGAATTTAAACCTTAAACCCGCATCGATTTACGTGTATACGCGGCAGACGTAATGAACATCTCTCCTGGGCCGGGATTAATGGGACGACATCAACTATAGTGTCAAAATATCAGTTGAATACGGCAATACCAGTCTAGATTACGAATTCATTGCTCGGAACGGAACATGCGTTGATAATTGACCCCTTTGTAAGATTTGTTCAATTAGAAAATGTTCCGGGTAATTTCTGAAACCGTGTTATAATGATTGTTTTATTATACATACAGGATCTTACATGGGTTTCCATTTCATAAGAGATTTATGAAAATTCGTGACGAGTTTCATAAATTTCATATGAAATGAAAAACGAGTGTAAGATCTTTTTTTATCACATAATCAAGATTTGTGGGATTTATTCGTGTAAAGCGACAATTTTCATGCAACCTTGAAATGTAAAAAGCCGCCATTATGACTCTATGTACATTATGACCTGTCTAAACCAAATTTCAAAATTGATTAACTGCATGGCTGATAGGTCATAATACAAGGGTTAGGTATAATACGCAAAAAAAATATGACATGGGTATATTCACTGGATAACACAACACATTATGTGATAAACATATGTATTACTTGATGTCAAATAGATCAAACGTTTTATGTATTATCATGTTATATTACATTTGTACTAGAAAATGACTTAGTCTAAGTAAATACTACTATTTGTCGTACAGGTCCTGATACACAAGACGTGCTCATGTACCTGGCCGGGGAACTTGGCGAGGAGTGGAAGAAGCTGGCTCAGTACCTTAACCTCAAGAGCGTGCGGATACAGGCTATCCTCAGGCAGAACAACATGAACCCTGACCCAAAGAAGATCCGGTATGACATGTTGGTTACCTGGGCTAAGCGGATACCGCGGAGTGCCAACAAGGTAGGCTCAGGACCAAGACTCAACGTGAAAATCACTATGTAATTCGATGATAAATGAATATTTCATTCAATTTACTGACACCTTCCTTGAGCTTCTGGTGATTTTTTTTTTTTTTTGTCTCAGTGAGTTTAATTTTACCTACGTGACACTATCAAGCAGTATAAATATCAGTTTCCAAGTCTAGTTCTGTCGCTAGATGTCTTTGCTTTACACTAGCTTAGTTAAAAAAAACATTTTATCTGAATTCATTGTAATGAATGTAATCAAATTCCTGTAAAATTATTGATGTTTTTAATTTGAATTGAACATCTGTATACTTAATATTTATGTTGATGTTGCCAGATGGACATATTAGCTCATGCACTGTTGGCCAGTGGACGAGGAGACCTTGCAGAGGAACTCCGAGAACGTGACGCAGAATTCCGCCGCACGCGAAGTGTCGCTCTGCGAGGTATAAAACAAATCAGATTTTGATGAACGACTTACTAATGAATGTGTACACTGAATTTAAATTTTAAAAATGTCAATTTGGTTGAAAATAACTACAAAGTATTTGAAAGGCAACATACATTGAGACGCATACTTTACATGTACTATACACAAAAAAAGACACAAGTTGCAGAAAATATATGTTCTAGACATTAACGTCAACAAACATTATTTCCGAGAGGTCTTTATTTTGCTTACTTGTAAAATCAATAAACTCCACAGTCAGAAACCCCATTCTGGAGACAATTTATATCAAACGGTTCAATTATTCGAGCTCCAGACATTGTAATCGCAGAGTTTGGCTGTATGGAATGTTATAAGACGTCAAACCGAGAAACAAAATCCTGTTTGACTTCAGATACTTACCTGAACCGAGCCTTTGTGAAGGTAGCACAGAATCCGACCGCCGTCAAGGAATGGAAGATGATCGCCAAGCGACTTGGTGTCTCTGACATGGACGTGACAGAAATTGAGCGGACCAAACCCTCCATCCAGGAGAAGTGTTACCACAGTCTTCGCAAATGGCAGACGACGGTTGGCGAACAGGCGTCACTTCCGGTGCTTGGTGCTAAACTACGTTTGTGTAACTACAGGGGACTCGCAAGTATGTCAATAGTGTGTTATTGAGCAAACGTGAATAAGAGATATTGTAATGTGAATTAGAAATTACTGCAGGGTGATGAAGTATCCCAAAAAATGTATAAAGAGTTAATTATAAAAGGTTTATAATTTAAAAACAATCGAAATTCAGTTTTTGCATAGAGATGTTTCTGAAAATTATCAATTTTACAAAGATATGAAATAAAATGGAGTATCAAACAGGAAGGCTTTGAGAAAAAATATACTTCAACTGTAACAATCGTATAAATAATTTAGGCATCAACAATAATATTTCACTAGGTGGTAAACTAGCACACTGAAAACACGCTTATTTAGTAGTTATATATGTTATCTTGATTTTGTCACATTGCAGGGGACATCGAAACGATAGGATGAGGCGGATCGGCTGTTGGAATTAGAGGGTAGAGTCATCGCCCTTTATTCGAAACAGAAAGGAAAATATCTCTACCGCCATAGCTTCAGCTTTTTCAGTACAGTGAATATTGCCTCAATACAATATCACCCGGAATCTTCTGCAGAGAATGCATGTAGTTATCTAAATATACACAGTGGGAACTCGTTCCTGATCATACAAGGTGAACAGGGGGAAATAGTTCCTGATCATACAAGGTGAACAGGGGGAAATAGTTCCTCGTTGTGCGATGTAAACAGTGGTAAATAGATTATAATGATACAATTTAGCTAGTGGGAAATAATTCCTACTTCTACATTATGTACAGTATGAAATAGTTCCTGATTATACAATGCATGGTTCAAAAAAGCAACACTTGCAAGTTGGTCCGTGTTATTGTTCCCTCCACATTGCTGGAAAAGCATACTATCCGTAATTATTCAACACAATTTTACAGCCTACATATTTTACAGCCTACATGTTATGTTAGTACTCTCGCCAAGTCATTCCGGTTGTTTGTTTTACACCGACTTGATAAGCTTTGTAATGTGATGTATGGTTGTGTAACAGTCAACACGTTATTCTATAGCTGTACGATAATGAAAGAGACTATATATTCTTATACATGTATATATATATATCCAAATTATTCGTTATTTTAAACGTTTTGATAACAAACGTTTCCTGATTGAACAAGTACGTTGTTTATGGATTGCTTCTACATGCATTCGTTCTGAGTTTACCTGTCAATGTTTCCGTTTCTCTTGACTCGAACGAATTAATTCTGTGATAGTTTTCGTTGTAATGTTATATTAACATGTCTACAAATCTAATGTAGTTTTCCATCTATACTTCATTTTGTTATTACTCTTTGGTTCTACACACACATATATATATATATATCTTATGAAATGGAAATGTATACCAAAACCCGTCCAGATAGTTATTTTCATGTAAAGCCACGTCAGAAGATGATGCCATTTACATAATGTCACGCGAAGATGTCCCCCTAAATTAATAAGTTATTTTTATTTTGATGTGTTTATATTTGTCTATTTGTTTCATTTTAGTAATGTTATCATACATGCAGAACACATATACATTACCGTCTGTCTACATTAAGTTGTGCACCTATATAAAATATATAAGCAATACCCGTGTAATCCTGTTTAAAATTATTTACTTTAGGAATAGCTGAAATAAATATATTTTACATGTATATCAGTCGTCCTCATTGATGTTTAAAATTAATTTCTTCTGGTTCAGAAATTATACACGTAGAAATATCCAAATTAATTTCTTCTGGTGTTTTGAGGAATATTGATTTGACAAGAATATGTTTGAAGGTTATATGTATTCGTTGACGATGAAACATTCGACATCAAACAGCAGATCTGCAATAACTTCTAAGAGATGGGAGGTAACTCTTGTGATTTTTCAACCCCTGCTGGTAACGTTATACAGACAAGTCGCCTTCCAATATTTGATCAAGATTATTAATTATTTTCAGGAAAAAAATAAGACTCTTCAGAGTGTTTCACGATTCTATTATTTAGGATAAATACTAAGCTTAAAACTTCTTTTATTACACATGTAATGTACATATCATCTTGATTATAAGTATGCCGTGTAAAGGTGTATAATAGATTTTTCCTACCTAAAGCTTCCTGTGTTATTATTGTTACCAAAGTATCTGTGATACGAATGTAAACTACAAATCATTGCCTTTAGAATTAAAAAATATTTCATATGAATAATGTTTTCCATGTGTTTTTATATAGGCTATATAACTGTAAATCGCAGATATTTTGTGAATCACGTATTTTCCTGATTTTGATTCCAATGGCTTATTCGCGCCGGTTTGAAATTGCGAAATGAAAAATAAGAGGTATGTATATCTTGTCAAAATGTGTTTGAATAAACATATGTGTGAATAAAAATTTCAAGCAAAAATAAAGTGATTTTCAGTATCATGCACTGTAAAGCGTCTCTATTTAAAAATATTTTAAGCTTCGACAGCAACCTTGTTAAACATAATTTAGATAATGCAATACAGAGAAATGTTTTGGTCGTGGATTTTATATTCTCACATACTGTTTAAAGTATTCGCGATATATCATTAAGTGATTTACAAGCATGTACATGTAAATTAGGCTAAATTGATTCAGTTGATGAGACGCTTATTACGCCCATGCATCAGAGCCGGTTCCTCAGCTTTCTCTTCTTCAAAGACGTAATGTATAGTGTAGTATCTTTCACGAAACACTTCTGAACGCTCCATTGATTTAAACATATTTTTTTATTTGCATCTATTATATACAATGAGGTTGGGCACTCCATAAAGTTCTCATCGGCCATTATTCCATATCAGTGTCTATCCCTTTAACGTGTGAAGACGTCCTATATTTTCTTCGCACAAACGTGTACCATTTCAAGTAGTCATTGTCTACTAATATGCCTATCGGGACGTCTTACATGTACTTCTTAGTATTAATTGCATTGACTGTTGAACTTCATGGCACTTTTTACCATTTCTATTAGCCAAGTTCTGTATACAGAATGGTGTACAGCTGTACATGTTACACATAGGTTACTATTCCTAGTAGTCGAGTTTATATTTAATTGTATTACTGAGCAATATGATCGCCATTTCACTGAGTCATTGTCTATATACACCGGGGACGTTCTACTTGGTTGTAATGTGTATAATTACCAATTAAGGGAATTTTTAAAGTTTTACTTACTGGTACTGTGTACGATTTCGCTATTGTTCCTGTCCATAAATATCGATAACGTCTTATTTCGTGGCACTGTGTACCATTTCCAATAGTCCCTGACCACGCAGGTACTTCTTGTACTCCATCTTCATCACGTCGTCATAGCGACGCAGGAGCACACTGTGTCGACCAATGAAAAACTCCATTCCCGCCAGTCGGTCTCGTGTTTCCTGGCTGTCAAGAACGATAATCCACCTTGACTTTGGTACAAACTGGATCGTGATAATTTTACTGCCCTTCCTGTAGCACAACATTTCCTTCATTTTACTGAGGACCTCTACGTGTGTAGCGACACTACCTTTTAGCTCGAAGCAGACGGCACTTGTCACGAGCTCTGGGGGGGCTCTCCGCTTGACAGATGGACAGTCCAACTTCTCATCGACCTTTCGTTCCACCTCTTGGCTAATAACCTCGTTGTACCTGACGATAAACACAATGGTAATAGGATACATACACGATATCCTAGACTTGTCCATACTGTACTAGTATACCTGACCTATATTACAGAGTTTCTGATTCGTTTAAGAACTTCACATGGCCGGAGGACAAAACATCATATCTCCCGGCAACTTGTTTTTGAAGTTGACAAAAAAACATATCTCCCGAAAGAGCGTACCTGGCTCCGTTCAAGTTTTTACATATCCTATAGTGTGTGCACAATTTCGCCCTTTAGTGAAATCAACCGTGGGTATCCGACGATGTTTTCTGAAGTGAATAGTATTTTCCTATAGGACGAACAATATGTACTTGAAACCAAATCCTGAGAATAGTTATAATTTACATTCAATCATGACTTTGGTAAGTCGTTATTTCATAATTTTCAAATGTATGAATTGGGTAACATCAAACACTCATCAGTTACATGTAAAAGTATGTCGATGGCCTTTTTACCTGTCGCATCTTATCTTATACTGGAACCTCTGCTTATAGATTATAATTCGGAATGTTGTCCTCTTATAATCAACAGTAGTAACCCATCACATGGCGCTTGAGGTTTCAAATTCATTATTATCATACAAATATATCCCAACTTTTCTGCGTTCAATCAGACAAGTGTTACACTTAAAATGAAATAACTAAAAGCACAACATGTGTGGGCTTGAAACCATATACGGTTATCATAAGCTTTGGTTGCTAGATATTCCATGAAGCTGACGTTATATGTTAGGAACCATCCATAAACGTTCTCGAATTATTTGAAAAAAAATGTTTTCCCCTGACATCCCATGTATTTCGTGAATAAACATGAATAACAGGCCTGGGTTAACTAAAGATAAATGTAATACAACACACAAACAAATCTTCAGAAATGCCGATGATCGATCACGGACAAAGGTCCGTAGTCTACCAGATATGCCGTGTTATACAATAATGCCACCTTGATTGGATGAAAAAAAATATGCCATCCAATTGCAGTTTTAACACACAGTAAACAACTAAAACGAATTACAATGTGCAGCTAGAGGCGCCAAGAACAGCTGAATATTTCAGGAGGATTTCATTAAGTCAAGGATACAAACAGCATTACTGTGTTTTCGGTATACAAATAATTGACCGCGATCAATATTAGCTGGATTCTATTTCTGGAGCCAGTTATAAAAAATGACCGACTTAAACTGTCATTTTAAGGGTGTATGTGCTGCCTTAAACATTGTACATGTATTTTGGGTTAGAGTTATATCCCTTTAAAGAACTTTTTAACTGAAGTCTGTTTTTAGAGACCACCCAAAGGACGTCTCAAAGGTAGTCTTTTTAACAGAGGTAGTCGCCAAATGTAACGACTGTAAAATGTATTATTATGATAAGCCAAATGGTGGTCTATCAAGAATTGGTCGAATGATGCAGTGGATAGCGCACTTGCCTTCCACCAAGGCGGCCGGGGTTCGATTCCCCGATCGGACGTGAAAAAGGTATGGGGTAACCTGCCCGAGCACGTGGGTTTTCTCCGGGTACTCCGGTTTCCTCCCACAATAAGACCCCCGCGCGCTAAGATCCGGGCCAACAAAAGTTGAATTAAATATAAGTTGAAATAACTTATTTCATAATTGTTGTAATTGTTGTAAAATAAATAAAGTTTATATTTATTTATCAAGAATTATTACTTATGGATCCTTGTACCACTGCTAATAATGGTGTACTGGGCATGATTTTATCGGTAATGAATCTTTCCCAACAAAATAAAATCATATCTTGCGGAAATTTTATGGAAAAAAATGAGACGAAAAAGAAAATCAACAATACTTTTCCGAATAAAACAAAATGCAACGGATCCAGACCATGATTCAAACCGTATACCGTCGACCATGATACTAGGACTCTAACCAAATACGTGATCAAAGATATTGTTCTCTGGCCCAGTCGTGCTACAGGTGTTCCAAAACAAAATTTATATGTGAAAATTCTTTGTAAGAAATTTCCGTTTTGCCTGGTATCTTTATATTTCTCTCTAAATCTTACCACCTTTTATTTCCCAGTGCCCTGCTTGTCAGTCCCTCACTTTTGGGGTTGATGTTGAGCGTTCGCCCAGGTGAGGCAGGCCATACCGAAGTCCTTTAAAATGGTAGTAGTTTTTAATCCCTGATTACCTAACGTTCAGCATTTAGGGTTATGGCAACAATGTGACCGGGCAGATACGAGAGACCTCTCGAGTCTATAATTACTCAATTTTAATGATAAATGCATTACAAAAGTTAACAATTGAATGTATTAGTATTATTTTACATCCGTGTGTTTAAAGACATCCCGGAAGCTTTTTCTTTTAAAGGAGCAATACGATTTTACTCTGATGTAGTCCTCGATTGTATCTGAAATCAATTTTTAGTTTTAGGACTTCTTTACAAACGTTAATTGTTCTCACGGAAGTGACAATTTGTACTTCCGGTCTGTTACTGATAATTTATACCCATATGTCGGAGTACACCAGTTAACTTAATAGTTTTTGTAGTAACTCAGACTACATAATGTTTTTGATACGGAATAAGCACTACAGCTGGATATCGAATATGGCAGGATGTCAGAATACTCAGGGGTCGGAATAGACAGGTTATGGTTTACCCTAAGAAATAATTTGATGTTATATTTGACTTACTGTTTTACTTCCTCCGACTCCCCGGTAGGTTTTTCTTGTGCTGCAACTCCAATTTTCTTCACTTTAATATCCTTTTTATCAACAGAATTCCAGAAGCCGAGCTGGTGTAAGCGTTCACTCTCCCGGGCCTGACTCGATTCTGTACTCTCTTTGGACTCTAATTGGTCAGCTTGAACAACCGTGGTCACTTGGTCATCTGTTGATTCCGGACAATTATCCTCGACACTGCTAGTCAATGTATCGAACTGGTGACTCGGCTCCATCTTGTACTGTTTCAACACAACTTTCCCTCTCTTTCTCGTCGATTTCCCAGTCACGTGCGCCATAACTTTATTTTGACTGGTAGTAGGCATGTTAACCGATAATTATCAAATTGTAGATGATAAAAAATATCGTTCACGAATTAAACAAAAATAACACCTATATTACTTCACCTTTCATATAAAATATTCATGAATGTGTTATTATCATCTTACAGCTTTCAAACATCATGTCGGAATCCTGGGAATATTTGCCAAAGTTTTCCATGAAAAATTCAGATGTTAATACTCTTCTTAGGTCGTTTCATGAATTCACTTTCATCTACAGATGCTCGTACTCCAGGGCATCAAGGATGTAGAGAACTGCTTCCAGGCAACAAGATGATCTCAAGAGCGCTCGTAGCGAGAAACTAGGCAACTAAAACAACAGACAGAAGAGATGACAGGGTTTATACTTGTTATACCTGTTGGCCAGAATTAGTTTCTCCGGTTGATAGCGATCAGTTTATAGATTTTTGCCCCTTGTAGCTGTACGTCTAGCCACTTAATTATTAATTATTGACGATCGGTTGCTATCGAACTGATACCAGTCTCTGGAGAAAGATAACGCCGGCAATCTTACAAGCGCGTTGGTCCTATCATCAGACGGGACTTAAGGATGTATACTACCTTACACTGTATAACTGTGACATGCACGTCCTGTTTAGAAGAAAATAACAATGAAAAACGTTCATGTCGGTATGACGCAGATCGTTTTAATCCGTATTGCATGAAATCTGCTAGAACGTCATGCTTCATATAGATTTAGCTAATTTTTATTTATGCCGGCATGTTAATTATTTATCATTTAATGTATATATTTATATTCAAAATGTATAGTTATAGATAGTCTACTCATATGCGAGGCGGGAGGAGAAATATTAAAATGACACTAATTTGCGATCATAGCCTTATGAATCCAATTTTTTTCGGATACTTGCATAGTAACTTGCACAAAAAATACATATATATATGTACATTGAACCGATTATTCATGCCTCGTCAAATGTATGAAATACTCTAATATTTATACTTAATCTGAACTGTCCCAATAGTAATAAAATCGATTAATTGAGATTATCGGCTTCGGCAATAAATTAACACATTAACTTATCGATTTTGCTTTCCTAACTATATTCAGTAAAACTACAGCCAATTTTCTTCTGTTAAGGTCTGTGTGGTTGTCACGACCGCCGAACAATAAATCAACTGTCCCCAATCAACCAATCATTTAGTGGAACAATGTCCAAAACAAATACACTTGAATTTAATTTCCTCAAAAATGCAAGATACAAAGTCTCGCCATGATTTTTATAGTTGTAATACTCTAAGGAATAATCGAAGGGACCCGGACAATCTCCACAGGTCGATAATCTGATATATCTATATATGTGTGTGTAAAAGAAGAAAGAAAAATGCACGGCCAAACTGGGACTCGTCCAAGATCTGCTGTTCAATTGAGCTATAGGTTTGCCGGCGATCGACCCAGTCCAGTTCCGCTACACTTCTTCCTCCTTTAAACAAAGTCTTCGACCCCGAAGACACACGAGACCCTATATTTTGTTGATCGCCAAATTTGTAATAGGAGAACAAGAAATGCAACGGCCAGACATGGCTCGAACCCGGGACCCTCCGAACTCTAGACGGACGCTCTGCAAATGCAATTGAGCTATCTGGTCGCTGGCGATCGACCAAGTCCAGTTCCCCTTCATATGTAACCATGGACATATCTGCCATGTAAATACGCATGTGCATGCGCATCAACAAATTGATTGTTATACATTGAAAATGTTCCAAAAGTCTTTAAACTCATAATAAAATTGCTCAAAGCATTTTCAAATTTGCCATTTTGATATGGGGTTACACAACCTCGCCCGTCTCATTCTATATCTCGAGAGATGTGTAGGAAGGTAGGCCACTAAGACACACTAATTACTGGGAACGCAGATTGATTCTCCTGAACCATCCAGATGTAGAATGAAGATTTCAAATATATATTTCAAATATAAAAAAAAAACATAATTAAAAAGTGAATTAACTTGCAGAAAAGAAATATCACAACTTGCATGTCAGCCAATAGCGCTCCCAGTTTCCCAAGCTTCAATAAAAAGCATAGACTATAGTCACGTGACCGCTGATGTAAACGTTACAAAAGATAATATACCAAAAATGTTTAGCTATTCGATTTTAGATTTTATTCTGATTTGTATTTTTCCTTAATTTACTCCCTATCCTAGCTGCAGCGTGTTCTGCCTTTGTCTGAGTAAGGAACCGGTACGTTCGGAACTCCCTCTCCATAACTTCTACCAGTGGCATTACCACAATGTTGTCATTGTCCAAAAATAGACCACTCTCAATAAGCTGGTTGAAATCCTCTTGACTTCCGGTTTTGACGATCCAGCGGTTTCGAATACCATAGTCTCCAAAGCGAATAGACAAGGCATCATATTTCATTTGTACAGGAACCACTCCCGTCTGCCGGCATATGCTATCTCTCAGCTCATCGTGCGATACAGCTTCGTTATGACGTAAACTGAAGCAGACGTCAAACGGCCCAGCGTCCGGGGGATTCTTCCGCATGTAGATGGACGGATGGACACGGTTTGCAAAGGAAGTGGCATAGCTGTCATTCTCATTTTTCTCATCTTTACATTTTTCGGTGGAAGTCATTTGCCTCTGTTTATCAAACTTTTTCCTGTGGATAATATATAACTTTTAGAACGTAAATTTTCACTAGTCCTATTGGTTTATGGTAAGACACATGGGAAACACTTACAGAATGATGTAATATGATCATAACTTTAACTGAATACTGATAGTGTTCTGCCAATATGGTCATTCATATCAGGGATACAGTCAAAACATTTAATATTAAATTGGGTCTTAAAAGGTATCTCACGGTATAAATCAAAATTTCAACTGATTTTAAAAACCTTACATACTTAATACTTGAATTTGTGTAAGAATATAACTATCTCTAAGTACATATGGCGAGAGCTTATGTTAGCATCGCCCTGGCACCAATGCCACCAGCACCAAAGCACGGTGGTCTTGTGATGGTGGTATTTCCTTCGAATCCTTTCCTCTTATCGTTCACTGCACCCTTCCCGTCTGACCCAAGTCCTCGTGAACCAATCGATGACGGGTTAGTCCAGACTCCTTGATTAGGTGACACATTTGTCTTGAGAATGGATTTGCTGTCAGTTGTCTCCACAGGGGTTCCCTTAGTGCTAGGTACTCGAAGGCCAAAGCACACGAGCTTGTCGCCTTTGTTGGAGCATGAATAGTGGCACGGCTTAGCGAACGTGACGGGCTGTCGTTTTGAGCCAGTCCCGTCGGCTGTCTTAGGCCTAGAATGAACTGCCGATTTTCTGTTTCGCGTCCTCTCTGTTCCCACACCTGTCTTTGGCCTCGTTCTACGTGGGAATGGTAAAACCCTAGTCTCGGACTCCTGTGTCTCAGTGCTGTCTGTTTGCTCGGGTTGATTAAACCTCCACGATAATGACCCGGAAGACTTGTTATACGATAGAACTGTTTTATATTCTTTTATATTGAATTCGCTCTTAACTATCGAAGAATCCTTTTCATCTTCCAGATTCGTCAGATCCTCTACGATCAGTTGTTCCCCATTGTCTAAGACGGACGACTTCCAGAGTTCGTTGATGTCGACAAGTGACACTGGACATGGTGTGAGTTCTCGCTGGGAGCAGGATCCGACGCTACTCTTCTTTGCTACGACTTGTATCTTGTCTAAACTAAGGTTACTACGTCCGGTGTTCATCAACAGCAGCGCTTGGCTCGAAGTTGGCATATCCCTTCTTCTCTGAGCGACAGGTCCGGACTTTACATATGCACACAGTAATGGATTGTCGCGTAGAAACTGATTGGTTATATTATGACGTCACAATAATTATGACGTCATTATAATGTAGCTGGGAACTGGACTGGGTCGATAGTCGGCGGCTAGGTACGCTAGTAGAGCGTTCGTCTAGAGTTCGGAGGGTCCCGTGTCCGAACCCCGAACTTCCCGTGCATTTTCCCTCTCCTATTATGTTTGGTGCCCACGACCAAGCCATGTTTCAAGTAATGGGTGAATGCTTGGTAAGGGGATACCCGAACCTGTGTTGTAAATAGTGATGTCTTCGGAGCGAAGACTTGCAACAGGGAGAGGGTGTAGCGGAACTGGACTTGGTCGATCGACGGCGATCAGGTAGCTCAATTAGTAGAGTGTCTGTCTCGAGTTCGGAGGGTCTCGGGTTCAAAATGTAGTCTAACCGTGCAACTTGTTCCGCTCCTCTCACATATATATCGTCGTCATCATTAATTACGACAATGAAAGCCTAGCCAATGATTCATCGCTCATGCATGGAAGACCCGAAGAAAATATACAATTTGGTAGACAATGCCTAGTATCGTCCCATGCATACCGCGACACGTACAACACGGATGAATGAAAGAAACTGCTCATCATTAATTTGACACATTAGAGTTCTGGAAAGCCATTTCAACGGGATCTAAGTACATATGGCGAGAGCTTATTTCGGCAAACCTAGCTTGTAGGTATTCTGCGGCCACTAATATCCTACAAAATCCTATCAAAAGTCATAAAAAAAACGTGCGCACACTAGTTGAAACCACATTTACTATAAGTTAATGAAATATTTTACGAACTGTTAAATGTTAAACCATGTCTATTTCATGCTATATGTATACCTACATAAATGTTAGCAATACGACTCCAATACAAAACATACAAATGTGACTATAGACCGTTGGGAACAAAAATCGGTTTCGATATAGGCACACGTGTACACATCCTCGGTATCCAGGGGTTATGCTCACTTTCGCTCTCTGTACCCCTGGGATATGTCGTAGCAAAATCGGAGGCTCAGTGGCAGCACCTTGTGGACGAGACGAGAAGACTAGCTTGATCCGTTGATGTACACCAAAAGAATCTCGCGGTCGTGTAACGGTAACACTTACTGGCTTTGGAGTCGGGCGTCGCTCCTCTGTAATCTTCAAAGGACAAGTATCAGCCTAGTGATTGGTAAGGTTTTTTTTACCTGACACCAGTGAAATAGCCAGCCGCGTGCCTTCAATATTGCTACGACATATCCCAGGGGCGCAGAGAGCTAAAATGAGCTAACTCTGGATTCTCGAGGATGAGTTGGTGTATTATGTACAATATGTATATATATAGTATAGGACCTATGCATTTTGGAAGAACACCTCATCCTTGTCCAAATTCTCCACATTATTCTATATACCATACACTAGATCACTGACAGGTCAGTTTTTTAGTACAAAGTAGTACTTATTTTTTTTTAATTCTGTACAATAGCACACCGACGATCATCATCACAGAAATGGTCAAAGAAAGACAACCCCTCTTGTTTTGGAATGATGATTAGATGATTAGATGTCGATACCATATGAAATTAAAATGTTTAAGTTGCACCACTGTTTAGAATCTGTCATCCCCACTGGGTTGAAATGGGCAAACCAACACTCGGGTATATAAGCATTGTCCTTCGTTTACCGTCTTTTTACCGTCTGCTGATCGGCCGAAAGACTGCTAAGATAAAACAAATCTACCCGTTCTCAAACAGTTTGATAGTTATAAGTTGATATTTCAATTATTTTCATTGTGACGTCACAGAAATCATGCAGGGTGTTTCCACGCCGGGAACTTCTTCCATAAATTCGCCCGAAACAAATGTCAAGATGGAGTTTTTTCCGAGAACAGACGTTAGCTCCAGAGGCGTATCCGGGAATTCTGAAAGGGTTGTGGGTGGAGGGATATACTTTCTTTTGAAGCTAAATACACGTGTAATACGCATGAGGGGGACGCCCTTGTTGCGGGCGCCGAATACGCGAAGATCCTCAAGGAGGGTCCGGGAGCATGACCCCCCGGTCTCTCTTCCCTTATTGAAGCCGTGGACATTATGAGAGTGTAAATTAGCTTTATAATTTAATCGAATGTTATCTACTTTTTTCATTTTTTTTCTCCTCAATTTTAGCATTCTAATTTCTTTCCAGATGGAAACTGCTTAATAACAATAAATATTTCCACTATGATAAACTTGAAAAGCACTGCCGAGCGTAGCAAGTTTTTTTTTTTTTTTTTATTCAAACAAAAATTAAATCCCCCAAAAATGTTTGAACCCCATCTTTTTATAATAATGTATAAACACACATTGTACTTTGAAAACAAAATGTGTACTGACAGACGGAATGACTGATCTCATCTGTAACAGGGAAACAGAAATGTAGAAGCTCTAACTGTGTTTGAATTTTATTGTGTTTTGAAAATATCTTACATTTTTCTAAAGGTCTTTTCCTGTGACCTTATCATTTGATCATGTGGAATTATGATCTCAAAAATATTTTCGAAGCGTAGTCAACTTGAATGTACCGCCGTACTAACTCAAACTCAATTTTCAAAATGTATTTTTTAATGTTTAAAATGTTTTAATACTTATTGTCTTTTAGACATTTATTTTAAAAAAATATGGCAAATGTAGTTTTAGCTTCTCGGGTTTTAATTATCAAAATATGTACTATTTTTATAAACATCACGTTAAGCTATCAAAGCGTCAAACAACCGGTCCCACGAAATGTCTCAAAATTGGAGTATGAATGCTTTTAGAGCGAAATTTGTTTGCTTGTTTGTATTTAAATGTTCAGTACCAGACCGTTAATTGTAGAAGAAATTAACGTTCAGTATTAACAAAATTCAACTGGAATCCACGTTTTCGATGTAGATCTCGATCTTTATTAAAGATCCAGACAGGAAAATTGACCCTCGATAGTTTGACAGTCAATATACAGTGGTAACGTAACTTTTTTTTTAGTAATTTATAAGCTTATTAAAATAATATTGTTACTAATCATGAGTACACATTAACGTTCATACATGTAACGTTAGCTGTCAAATGTCACGTTCTGTCTGCATCCTGTCTGGTTTATGTCTGAAGTGTACTCGAGTAACATCCTGTGTTATGAAAACATTAATGTGTTCAATATACTCGTGCTATGGCTGAGAGGCAGACTCACTGGTCTGGAGACGCAATGACTGATCTCGTCTATAAATAGAAAATAGAAAAAATACCGAAACCCAGATTTGTCATCTAAAAGTTGATTGGATAACTTATATAAAAGTGACCAATCAGAGGCTCTGACACTGCCAGCGTACGTCGGCGAAGAACTGTCTGGCATGTCTGGTGCACGGTGGAAGGGATGTGTGCGAAGGTCGTATTAATCGTGTAAAGTTTCGTTGTGACAGAAAATCAGAAGACCATGGTGGTGTTTTCCTTGACACTTGTCCGACAGTATGTTAACTTCAATGTTTATTTTCTTTATATTTATGAAATACAGTAAATCAGATTATCGCCAAGGGGTCGAAAGGGGCATCACGTTTTCAGAGGTTCGACTCAGCTTCTACTGTAGTGTATTTTGTAAATCTAGACTAGTTGTTGCTTTGTTGCTGAAGTCGTTTTCTTCTTACAAACCTAGTGCAGCCTGTCGTGTCCTATTCAAATATTTGACGATGAATTTTAAATGTTTCTTGAAGCAGTTGATCTAATCAGATCGGGCGTCGTCTTATAAAACTGATAAAACCTGTAAAATGTGACAATATCGTTACCGTGAGATCCCAACTCACTTTTATATCCCAATCATAGGAATTAAATACAAGGGAGAATACGATAACAGTGAGTTATATTCCTGCCTGACTCAGATCTGTTCTATCCCCCACCGGAAAAACTGTAAAACAACAACTGTTCCTCTCCTTTCCGACGTCTGGACGATGATTAAATCACCTATTAAACTTATATTACCAATTATTATTAAGCTCAATTCTTAACAGCTGAAACGGATAATAACAATCAAATTAAGAACAACCATAATCCTGCTAAGCATAAGCCCTAAATCGAACATTTGACACTGAACAAGTGATGTGTAATATAAATGACACCCTACCCTGGTTAAAAATACTTGACTTGGCTAGTGAACATTTCTTTTTAGCTCAGTCAGTTGAGCATTGGACTAGTAAGCAAGAAGCCTCAGGTTTGACCACTAATGGAAGCATTAAATCGCGGCAAAAATTACCCATTTTTCAATGGTGCCCACATACAGATACCATTGTAGAAACTTACAGTCTATGATGAAGTATAAACTTCTCCAAAGGCTTCTGTTTAATGCTTCGGCTTATTACCCATAGGACACCTGAAACATATAATATATAACATTTCAAAACAATTACAATGTCCACCAGTTTCGCTTAGAATAATACATATTCATTACTCTCATCCATGGCACCTTATCACATTATAGATACTATATGATGATATATATATAGTGGTAATGATGATCGTAGCTTACCAGGGGCATCGGACAGGCACATGAATGCTTCTTGAGAGTATATACTAGTGTACGTCTGCTCATATGCAGAGCTGTAATCAGAGTGGTTATATTGGAGGTATAGTCCGGGTGTGGGCCCGACCATGTAACATGAGCCAGGTGACGCAGATGGAAGTCCATGGTTACCTGTATGTATGTGTACATGTGTAGTAGGACGAGGAATAGTGATTAAGATAATGCCGTCGCTGGGGCTTGAACCCGCAACCCTTGGCTCTCCAGCCCGACGCTCTACTGCTGAGCTTAAGGTAAATTCCCTACAGCTGACGCGTGTAAGGCAACCTAATTAATCCCCATCTTTTACACTATTCCCCCCTTTTTCAAACACCAACCCAGGATGTTTGACTCCCTGCCAAGGGTCTCCTACCTTGAACGAGAGGGTCACCGGCACCAATTTGTAATAGGACGAGGAATAGTGATGAAGATAATAGTGCTGTTGCTTGGGCTCGGAACCAGCGACCCTTGGTTCTCCAGTCCGATGCTCTACCGCTGATTTAAAAGGAAATTTCCTACAGCTGACACTTGTAAGGCAACCTTGGTAATTAAAGACCAAAAAAAGGTGTCTGTTTAGGGTTCCCGACCGACCCTAGCTTTTTTTATTTGATTTTTAAACCCTCGCTGATTTTCAAATTTTAGAAGGTTCCTTGCCTTTCAAAATGGCTTCCTGCTCTGTGTTGGCACTAAATGTCATCATATGGAGCACAATTTGCCTCCAAATGAACCTTGTTTATGTAATTCTTTGTTTTACATACAGTAGTAGGGTCATAATCACATGACCAAAAATATACAAAAAATAAAATAAAATAAACGCCAAACATATTTTTTTTAGGTCTTTTAAATAATAATTTGGGATTTAAAATTGGTTTTGCAACCTGTATATGAAAAAGATAGGAAGTATGATTGAGTTGCCTTGTATGTCTGTTTGTGATTGTACATCAATTTGTTTGCAACTAGTAGACAACTTATCCCAACACTGGATGGAGCATGTTCAAGCGGGATAGAATTGTTAGGGTTGGAGAAAAAAAACTAGGGTTGGTAGGGATACCTGAAACATAGATTTTTTTTTTTTACCTAAATAGAAATTCCCCCGACCAAATGCAAGCCAGTGATTATGAGCAACTTGATAGTAAACAAAAGAGTCACATACATTGTATACTGACAGTTATGTATGTTAGTAATTAAGAAAGGCTACCTTTTGTTCATCCCCGATATTCAGTGGTTACGCTCACTTTTGCTCTCTACAGTAACATGTACACCCCTGGAATATGTCATAGCAAAATTGAAGGCACGAAGATAGCTGTTTGATTGGTCTCAGGTAAAAAAAACTGACCAGTCGCTAGGCAAGATACATGTCCTTTGAAGATTACAAAGGAGAGACGCCCGACATCAAAGCCTGTCAATTTTTACAGTTACGTGACCGCAAGATTCTTTTGATGTATAGCAAAGGATCGAACTAGTCTTCTTGTCTCATCAACAAGGTGGCGCACACTGAGCCTTCAATTTTGCTATGACGTTTCCATGGGTGCAGAGAGCAAAAGTGAGTGTAATCCCTGGATATTGAGCGCGAGGATGCCTTTTGATAGAATGTCAAAAGAGAGCATGTCAAGTTGTAAAATTGAGCTNATAGAATGTCAAAAGAAAGCATGTCAAGTTGTAAAATTGAGCTTATCTTCATACCAAAAAAATACAATGGAAGTGGACTCGGTCAATATGTGCCAACCAGGTATCTCAATTTGTTGGAGCATCCGTCTAGAGTTTGAAGATTCTACTAATGGGAGGTGGTAAACGGTCTAGTGTGTCTTCAAGGCGGACGACTTTGTTAAAGGAGTGAGGAATGTGGCAGGATTGCTGGGGGTCAGGTAGCTCAATCGGTTGGGCATCTGTCTTGAGTTCGGTTGACAAGTTTTTAAAAACTGTTCTACAATATTTTCACAGCATATTTATTGAACATATTCACTAGCCAATGAACTCAGCACAAAATTTACTAGCCCTAGCTAGGTGACAGCGAGGTGGAATGGTACACCTGTTAGCTCTGATTTCTATTTCCAATAATTAGTTGGTGTCAATATATTGCAATATGTATAAAGATACATCTATTTTGACACTGTTCTCATTAAAAGCTGTTTCTTGGCAAATTAGCCTGCTCTTTATCAACCTTGAACCGGCTTTTTTTTCGCAATACTAATATAGCTATGTCAACTTTGTAGCATGTGACCATTCAACTGGCTAGTCTTTGCAAGTTAATAGAGCAGTCTATTTCAAAACTTAGTGAGAATGCTATTCTGTATTGAAATATACTGTAGTAGATAGGCTCTGGTAACATCATAGCTGCCCCATACGTACCACTATCATTTATGTGAGTGACATTTTTCTCCAAGTGTCTCTGATCATAGGATTCTAATCTAGGATTGCACATTACCGATGCAGTGTTTACGGCATTATCCCTTAACCCTTTCACCACTGTAGACCATAATGGACTCGTCCATATCAATGCATGGTAGAGTCTACTAAAGTTACATAGGGGTGAAATTAAAGGGTTAATTAGCTCAGTCTGTAGCCTACTAGACGAGTTACTTTAAACTGTAACAAAGTTTAATCCTGGTACCAATTGCAATGTAACACTGGAAATGCCTTGATGGATTGGAACAGTGAAACTCTAACCCTGAACCATCTGAAAGATAGGTTATTCTTTAGAATTTCCTAAACGTAATACCTTATTGTTTATAATAAATGAACAAAATAACAGATGATTGTGAGTTGCATAGATATACTCAAAAAAAAACCTAACTTATTTAATCTGAACTTTCAACTTCATTACATATTTATCATTTCAGTGGAGAGACCCTTTATAACAGAAAAAAGATCCTGCAAGGTAAGAGGCAATACTGACTTCTAGTTTTACTTATAAATTTTCCTTTCTGCTCTCTAGAAGGCAGTACATGTGCGTAATATATTGGACATTTGTATATCATAATCCAGGCTAAGTTAATTCCCAGAAAACTCCTTTCTTTAAGTGAATGTTTCAATTATTTGAAAGTATATTTTCATTCCAAACCATCAATAATATGAACTTCCACGGTAACAAGATTTTGAAAAATATTGTACAAAATAATTGTTATGGAAATAGGACTTACATTTTCTGAACAGTCAGCACCTATTGTTTTAATTAGTGGTCCTTTTTGTATCGGGATGTAACAAACAACTGTACATGTAGATATGACCATGAGGCATCTTTAGTGTCACCTTTGAAGTGAAAGTGTCATATATTCCGTCTTTGCGTATTGCAGAGGTATCTTCTCTTGAGAGCAGGTATTGATTGTTACGGCATTTGTTTGTGACAGTAACGCCATCAAGCTTTGAGAAAACGACGTAATTTTCTCACGCAAACCAATGACGTAACAATCAATCCCCGCTCTCAAGAGAAGATAACTCTGCAATACGCAAAGACGGGATATACATATAGGGATCACTTTGTCGGTGGTTTTGTGTAGTACATGTATGTACAAAAGGTGGCATATATACAGGAACAGTCCATCAATGGCAGATTTAGTTTTTAGTTTCAACAAATTTTATTGAATTCAATGGCAGCATTGTTGTTGTCAGCACAGAAAGTTTCAGTGAGAAAACGATGGAAGGATAATGGTTGAATTTTTCGTGAAATTTTCAACACAAAACCTGTAGTATTAATTCTCTGCTCAAGTTTGATTTTTGAAACAAATCTGATAATCAACGTGACCCCCAGTGGTTATTATTGTGAAAAGTCCTATGGTTTACGCATGACACCTCCCCTTAAGGAGCATAATATTTGATTTTCATCAAACTTTCTACACATGAATGCCTGTGAAGTTTTCTTCACAAATCTGTACTACTTATCAATTATAATTGCCCACTGAAGTTCGTCATTGTTACCCAAATCTAAAAAAAAAATATGTCTGACAGCGATTGTCTTGGATTGTAGACATCAGTCGTCAGTCACATCAGTTTCTTTTTTATTTGGTCCAGCAAAATTCCTACCAGTCAGCTGTCTTGGTCAGAGGTAATGATTACCAGAAATTTAACCAAAGTAAAAAACTGAGTCCTGGGCTCATTATTTTTTGCTGAAAATATATTTTCTGAAAAGTTTTCATTTCATTTCAAGGCCAGACAGATGTGCCATTATCACAAGTGGGAATACAGCAAGCCAAGATGGCCGCAAACCGCCTGGAGAGTGAGAACTTCACTCATGTGTTCTCTAGCGACCTCAGTCGGGCCAATCAGACAGCTCAGGTCATCATGGAGGGTAACAGTGTGTGTCACAGCACCGTCGTCACCGATAAGCGACTCCGTGAAAGGGTAACATGCCACAAGATTCCTGTTCAAAGATTGATGTTTAAAGTTTAAATATTCGTATGATGATATATATGTGTTCTGGATTGGATGCCTGGAATATATATATACCTGTTAATTTTATAAAACAATTATTTGGGAAAATATTTATGCATTGAGCCATTGACCCTGTTATAATCCAGTTTTTAAAGAAAACTTGTTTGATATTAGTAAGATAATAACAAGGAGAGTATTTTGTTAAAAGCTAAATTAAAAAGGTTGATTTTACTGAACAAGCAGTTCTGCATTCAATAATGTATGCATTTGAGCATTTTGTAAGCATTTGAGCATTTTGTAATAAAGGTCTCTCTTAAGATGGAGAATATAATGGTACATAAAAGCATTTCAAATAAATCTTTGTAGAACGTTTTAACTTTATATACTTACATCACAATTACAAAGTTCAAGTTCCTAACTTTCGCAAAAGTTTTCATACTGATAATGTGTTGAATATTTGTTCTGTAGAAATTTGGTACACTAGAGGGAAAGTCGCACAAGGAGCTGATTGCTGCTGCCAAGAAAGCCAACACCAACGTGGCCAGCTACACCCCCCCTGGTGCTGAAACTAACTTACAGGTACCTATTGTAAGCTACACAGCAATCCACCTTATGGGTGGGGACAAGTCACATCAGAAATAGGACAAGTCACTTTAATAGGTGGTTGGTGCTAAATTAGAAGCAAGGGCAAGTTACATAAGTGGGTTGTGTTAGTTACATCAGAAGTAAGTTACCAAAAGGCACACATTTAATCACATCAGAATAATGGGCATGTGGACAAGGCAAGTAGCCTTAAAGGAGAGACAAGTCATATATATTAATGATAATGATATGGCATATAAAGTTATCAACGGGGCAGTTTATCTAGTAGAGGTGCAAGTCACTGCAAAGCAAAGGACAAATCACCTGAAGGAAGGGGGAAAAACAGAAGGTGAAAATCTGTATATATGTCTGAACAAACAAAAATATAATTAAGTTATTTAAAAATCTATACAGATGATATTTCTCATTAAAACTAAACATTTTGTATTTTATCACATAATATACATGTATACATTGTAAGATTAACATGGTAAAAATTTGTATACAGAAAACATTCATCCAAAATACTCTGAGAGCTGCATTATATCATTTTTTGATTTTAATTTACAGATGCAAGAACGTGCAATGTCATTTTTTCGTGATCTATGCAAACTTCTGGTGGCCTTCATGAATGAGTCAGAAGATAATGAATATACCCCAGGATCTATCAAACAGCGGCACGGTGGCAGCCTTGGGCGCAACAGTGGCAACATACGCAACCGTCTAGTGAGCAGTCGGCGTAGCCAGTCTTTCTGTGGCATTGCATCCATGTCAGATACCCCTGATCTAGATATATACAATGATTACCAGTCATCTGATCAGAAACGACGCAAGTACGAGAAAGATCATGAGACCAGCGACGATCCTGAGGACAGTTCTTGTCACAATGCTTCGTCATCATCAACAGTAGCAGCAGCAAATCATTCTGCACGATCACAGGACACAAATGGAGGGTTGTGTTCTTCTCAAGACGAGAATCTCGCTGACACTGTGATAGGCAGGTCAAACTCCAGCAGTTCTTCAGGCTACGCAAGCCTGCCAGACGGAACAGACCTGTCAGACAAAGACAGTGAGGATCAGGTTGAACGAGAGGACCAGTCGGAGGCTAAGAAAGCTAGTATAGAGAACCTGTTTACTCCCACTGGTTACCTAGAACTTAATAGTGAATCCCCAGACAATTTCTCTAATTCTGAAAATGAACAATCTTCAGATTCGCCAGCTCATATTAAGCCAGATTCTGACCAAGCACATCACAACAGTTTCAGCCCTGAAACCTTTGTCACTGGCCCTTCAGTGATCAACAGGTCCCCAGCAGGCGGTTACTGTCCAAATGTGTCCCTGTCTCCACTCCTGGCCCATCGCCTGTCCAGTGTGTCCAGCATCAGTTCGGGTCGCAACAGTTCATTTGACGACATGGACGGACTACCACCCACCGTGGCAGACGTCCTCATCGTCAGCCATGGTGGATTCATCAAGGAAATGATTCGACACTTTGTTGACAATCTGGGCTGTAAGATACCAGGAGGTAAGAGTCATGCACTGAAAGTGTGTGCCAACTGTAGCCTTTCTAAGTTCACTGTGACCGTGCACAATGTCAGCGAGACACCAACTGTCAGTTGTATCACTATCAATGAGAGAGACCACCTCCGGGAAGTAGAGGTCACAGAATTTGACTTAGCTCTCTAGCATCTCCTACATGTCTCAGACTTTCATCTCTCTCGCGTCTCCTACATGTCTCAGAAAACATCTCATTTTTAGACTGAAATAGGATGTTTTTTTTCCTATTTCATCATGCATAGTTTTACCAATTGTTTCTCACCATATGAGAAAAAAATTCTCGCTAAAGTTAAATTATCTCTTTATTTCATTTTCAAGTTGCAATGTTGCCAATAATTGTATAATAGACTGATCCTTTCTTTTTCGATGACAATGTTTCTTTCAACAAATGTGAACATGTTTACCAACTCAAATTAATTGGATATCATTTTTATATATATGGTATATTATATATATCAATTAAAGAGATATCAATGCTTTAAAAGTTAGCAATAACTTGAAAGTCTTCACTTGAAGTTAACAAAAAACGTAAGATAGACTGCGATACATAATTGGTACTCTCATCCATTTTATCACTTTCCAACAATAATTACTTTAGTGAAAATTCATCATCATTTATTTTGATAATTCTGCAGCCACCACATGTAATATATATAGTTTTGCACCAGATCTGATATGACTTGTACAGGCTATATATATATATGTATTTTAACAAACAGTCAGTTGGTTTATATGTACAATCCCCTTCCCGTCCAGCCTCATTAGTTGATCTGTAGATTATAAGTAGTATTAAGTTTCTAAACATGAGTAAATATCAATTATCACCATTCAAATACTATTGTTGCAGAAACTAGGTAGTTATAAGTAATTTAATACTGAAATATGTTGTGAAAAATTGACAATATCAGTTTGTAAAATTGCTCGAAAGTTGTTTAAATTGGCATTCAAATATTCCGTCTTTGCGTATTACAGAGTTATCTTCTCTTGGGAACAGGTATTGATTGTTACGTCATTGATTTGTGCGAGAAAATTACGTCGTTTTCTCAAAAATTGATGACGTTACTCTCACAAACAAGTGACGTAACAATCAATACTTGCTCCCAAGAGAAGATAACTCTGCAATACGCAAAGACGGAATATGGAAATTGTATAGATTATTTAAAAACATGTCTTGATTCAAGATGTGAATAGCTTCCATTTATGGTTTTCCTCCATTGAGTAAAAAGAAATTTCCAGTGAAGATTTAGTGAACCATAAATTATAGATTTATACGTGTATATCAATATGTGTAGTATCAGCACTGACATCTGAATATACTCTCTTGTAAATAAGCTGTACAATGTATATTTGTTGAATGACATCTTTCATAGTTACTAACATTCTCAAATTAGAACTGTTAAGCCACACATACTCTAGTAACAACAAGCTTTGGCAGAAGTTTGGTCCTGACCCTTTGAACTATTGGGTAATATCAAGGAAGCAATATTGAATTTAACTCATTCCCCCCTGAAGTTTCATAATGAACTATTCCAACCTTTGAATTAGAGGAGTTCAAATGTGTCTCCAGGGATCAATGAGTTAAAACGGTTATTCAAACACCAAATTTAAAAAAGTTTTCAACAGAACCGTTATAAATTAATTGACTTCTGTGCATACCCTAGGCCTTCTATGTTAAAAATAACAGAAATTGTATGCATGAAGTGTGATTATAATTTGACGATAAACAAAATACATTTCTTTTAGTTATCCAATAACATTCTACTGAGCAATTTTGTATATTGATTTGTTTTCGATATTCTGACTTAATGATGGCATGCATTGACCATGCCTTTCATAATGTGTTGACATGTGCTTTTGTTGTGAAAATAATTGGTATAGATTACTCTGAGTAAGCTATCGGTTATGTTGTTGAAGGGTAGGATGATAATGTGATTAAATGAACAAACATTCATGTTTCCCATAGAATTAAGAGAAATCTAGATCTTTTTAGTGCTTGGTAAAATGTAATGGTATATGTACAAGAAATCAGTCGGTTAGTCAGAAATCAGGAAATGTGTTGGTCAATTCCTTTTGTAGATTGATTCTGTTATAAATGTCTTCGGTTTTGTCATTAAAGAATATTTTTTACAAAAACAAAACTTATGTACAAATATAACTGTAAGGTCAGTATTTCATCATTTCATCAATGTTTTGTACGAGTACATATTTATCATGTCAGGGTAACTACTGGATTCCTCTGAAAATATTCATTGGCGTTTTGAGGAATTAAGGTTGATCTTCATTTGTTTGCATGTCTATAGTCCATCTGGGCTCAGAGGTAAAAGTCATGGCTTTTTAATAATGACACAAATTTTTAGGATTTCTTTTACTTTTTTTTGTATTTTTGCATTCATCAATACATTTTCCATTTACTACAGCCAACTAACAGCTGTTTGAGAATGTAGCATAGCTGTATAGGAATTAGATTTATACATGTTTGTATTTTTTGTAAAAAGCCTCATTGTGTTAGATTTGTTCTTTTGAACAGGATGGGAAAATGGCAGTTATATGTGATGTTTTTATTTTCATAAAATTGTGCATTTGACAAAAATGGCATATTTTTTTTATTTTTTTTTATCTTACTGAAGCTTGATAATGACAATTGATTAGATAGATATAAGTTCACACATTATCAACAATATTTCTATGTTCATTTGACAGACTTGGCCACAAATGTTATCCTTTTTGCTTAATTGTAGGCTGCATGTATGTATTAATATCTTTTAGCAGTAAATGTCTTCAATTCTTTCAATAAACCAAGTTTACATGTTGGATCATTAGGAAGTATCTGTCAATCATTATAAAGTGTCCAGAAATTTGATAATTATAATCCAGCTATTATTTCATTATAAAGTATCAAGCAGTTTAAAGTATCTGTGATATAGATATCTCAATTACAAGTATGTATTGAGGATCCTCATACCACTCCCAAAAACTGTAGCTATGCATCAAAGTCTGATTAACTAGAATGACTATAGCTTTGATAAATATTTTCTGAAATGAAAAACATACCTTGCGTCCCGGGACTTTCATGAAGACATAAAGATGATATGAACAAAATATAATCAAAAAGTGTTCCGAGTCCAAACATTTTGCTAGACCGGGATATGAACTCTTGACTTCAGATCGTTGTACTGTCTCTCCAACCCATTGAGCTTCCTAGGCCTGGTCAACAGAATTATATTGTCCTGGCCAAACCGTGCTACAGTTACATCCAAAAGGGAAATAAGGGGAGATCACTACAGTTACATCCAAAAGGGAAATAAGGGGAGATCACTGTACTAAAAACCACAGTGCAGTGGGACAGAGATTTTTAAGTGAAGGAACTGCCCACCAGATGGCGATATACATAATTGGTATGCAAATATTTTATCTAGGGAAATATGAATCTGCTTACTGGATTCTGGTATCACAGTTTATATGTATTGCCCTTTTATAAGGAAAACTTGGATATATTTTTCCCATGGATTAATTATTTGATTGATGAAAAAATTGCTAATTTTTTGTTGTTCAAACAATAGTTATTTCATTGTCTGAAAATAGAAGAAAGACACCAAAACATATACTAAGATAAGATATTTCACGTGTATTTCAATTTCCTTGACTTCATCACAGGAAATAAATGAAAGTGTATGATGAATTTTTGAAGTAATACGATTATTCTAGTTTAATCTGGTAATCTATTATATTGATTATATATATACATATATATATATGAATAAAAAATCTTCTTGTGTTTGGAACTCTTTTACTTTGAGGACAAAATTATTCATGTTTTATGATAAGCCCGGAGAGACTCGAGTATCAGAGAAACTGTAATTAAATATTATTTCATCTGATGGCATATAGTTGATCTGTAAAACAAGGGAGATAATTTGTGAAAGAAATCCATTGTAGTTAAAACAAAACCTTATTTTACACTACCTTCTTCTATGGTATTATGCCATTCTTGTATGCAGACACTCAGATTGTAGGTAACTGGAGTATAGGAGCTTGACTGTATAATATCTGTTTCATACTGCATTGGACATTCTATGTTTTGTTGGATACTTCTGAGTTTGTAAACCAACTGATAAATCTTGTAATTGTTAAGCCAAACTAAAATATGTAGATGTCTAGTTTATCGTTCTGATGAAGCTTATGCATAATAGTTATGTATATCAGCCAACTGGTATATATATAAAAGAAAGCACGTTTACCATGGACGAGCTTATAAAAAAGCATGTTCCCTGCTAATTGTCTCCCCAAACATTTTCTATGATAAATTATATTTTTAGGTCTCCGGCTTTCATTTTAATTTAGCATAGGCCAGTATAGCCTTGTTTATTGGATATACCCAAGACATTTTTTATCAATCTTATGTTCATTGTAGAAAGCAGTGATTATAATTATAATGTGATGTAATGTTTTTAAGAATCCAAGTACCAGACACACTGTTTTGTCAATGTCTGTGTGCGTTTTATTGTGATATAGCACAACCTTGTCACTGTTGTGATATTGTGATGTGGCATTTAATAATCAATTTTGCATGAGTATGAGAGAAGGTTATTTAGAAGAAAATCTGAGGTCATCATAAGTAGTTATGTCTGAGGGATGTGAATTTTAACATTATGATATATATATATATATATATTTACATATGATTTGAGATATGCAGAACTATATTATATCATATATACATATTACACTCTTATCATAGACTTGTGTATCTATGTATATTTGTAGATTTGCATTTTTTCCTTGTGGTAGAGAATGGGGTAAAAAGTGTTGACTTTTTCTGCCTTATTATGATACTGATTCGATGACAAGAAATTAATACGAGAAAAAAATCACTTAAAAAAAAGAAGAATTACCCATTGGCAGCATTGAGTTGCGATCAGCACGCCACTAAGAATACCTTTAACAAAGAATAGGGATTACCTCCCTTCCCCACCCGGCCTTCTGTCTGTTACAGTTGTACTTAATTATATCAGTCCAGTTAAGGTTTGAATGTTAAATGACTACATTTGAATATCAATTGTGGTATAATTTTTAACCCTTTCACCACTGTAGACCAAATTGGACTCATCCATATCACTGCATGGTAGAGTCTATTACATAGGGGTGAAAGGGTTCAGTAGTTCACCGTAGGTTAAATTTCCACCACATGGTTTGATCTCTTTTTCATAGAATATTACTATGCTCATGATATAAAAAAAATATGAAGTCCAGATTAAATCCTAAATATTCCCAAATTTCCTATTTATGGTAGAAAACTAATTCTGATGGAAAACATTCTAAAAATTAAAATTCTTCAAATCAGAACTTTTTCCAATTTCTTTCAGTAGTTTTGAGGTATTCTTGACACCATTTAAAATCTTAATCATAGCCACCAGTTGTTACGTGCCTTTGAGTTTCTGTATTGTATGTACAGGTACAACTTAGATGGGTTTTGGTTTTCCTGATTTTGGCTAATTCTTGGTTACTGTATATCGCATACTAAGTATGATGTATTTTTTCGAGAATCTACCAAGAATTCAAAATATCTAGCAAATATTCACGAACATCTTAACAAAGAGTATAAATTTACAGATTAATTCTCTAGTTTCTATTCTGTTAACTAGTTTGTTTAAAACATCTGTGAAAATAAGTGTCTGCAAAAAGCCCATGATTTACCAAATGTTGTGCAATTCACAAGAGTTATATACACCTGTATAGGTAAAGTAGATATGACTCTTAGACTTTATGAAGCTCTCACATATTTCAGCCCCAGGGGTCAAACAGCCTGTTCCCTCAGATCCTTTGATGAATTCCATGTCCATGTCAGAGTCAATATGTGATTAAACCTGTTGCTTTTGAAAGAGATTGGTATGATCATTATTATCAAACTGTAAACATAAACGTTATTATCAATGTACAATAACCATGTATATTGTAATTTCTTGAGCCATTTTACTTGTATCAAAAGTGGTAAGAAGTCCAAATTAGATATTGTTTACA